AATCGGTCTAAAATCATTCGGTCAATTTTTTACCAGATGTCCCAAAATTTATGAGAACAGCTGTAATAACCGGGTGAAATTTAAAAAAAAAAGCCGGCCGGCCGGGCCTATTTAAAAGTTCATGTTATGAAAACCAAGTAATTAAATTTGTATGGCCTAATAAATAAATACATACATTGTTATCCTCACCACTCCAAATATACATCTTTGCATTGATGGAGTCAACCACAGCTGTATGCCGAATTTGAGTTTGAGCTGTTCTTGCTTATAAACGTACGATTACTAATAAAAAAATTAGTTTCATTTACTGACAAGATCATTAATTATTCCTGGTGAATTTAGAGTTGCACCCCCACCAAAAATAATAATATCATTTTCATAAACAATCGCACTATAAGCGGCCTTTGACACTAGCATTCCCTGTGATTGGAACGTTGGATTAGAAGTAACAAACGACTGACTCAGATCTATGTAAAATATGTCACTTAGTCCGTATCCGCTTGAATTCGTACTATTCCATCACCGTAAAAATATAGCTTATTTGATACTAATACCGATGCCAACTCCCGTCGTCCAGCAGGAGAGTAGCATTTAATCCATTCAATAAATAGTATTATAAGCAAAAGGAAAAGGGTGTCAGATGAACGCATTTTGGTTGTTAAGAATAATACAGCCTACCCTCGTTATAACGTAGTGGTCGGGCTGAGAAATTCTGTCCGTTATAATGAATATCCGCTATAGCGTTATATAGTATAATAATAAAATTTTTAAATTCTTCCAGAGAATTTCTCCGTTATAACGAGGTATCCGTTATAACAAGCCCGTTATAACATGTGTAGACTGTAATGATCTTTTAAATTCTTCCAGAGAATTTATCTGTTATAACGAGGTTTCCACTATAACAAGGTCCCTTATAACGAGTATAGACTGTATTTTCTTGGCATTAGTGATCTCTGAAATTTTTATTTTTATTTTTATTTTTGCAGAATTTCTTTGATTTCCATTTTACAGTAAGAGGTGTTAAAGCAGAGTTAATTCAATATGTGATCTACATCATAAATTACTTTTTTGACTGCATTAATCGAAGCATCTTGAGATGTGTCTCACGCTGCGCATGATTGAGAATTCGTGCGCATTATACGCATAATTCCGAATCATGCGCTCTATAAAAAAAAACTTGGAATTGTTCGGAAAATTATGAAATTATGCGATTTTTTGTTCAGAAAACGAACATTTTAAATGATGTATATGTTTTTGTACGTTTTTGATACCATTTTTTATACAGTACAATAATTTTTAATCAAAAATTTTTTATTTTTACATCCCGTGCAAACTTCGTAATGAAAACAGTACAAACATAAACGCCTGTTTGGAAAATCAACTCCATTCCAAACAATTCCTGACAATTTTAGAACAAACGTTTTTTATAGGGGCGCATTTTATCCCGTAAAGGCAAGTTAAATGATGTATCTTTTTTGCAACTGATTGGATGATCTATTCTCGTGACTTTGGCTTGGAATTAGAGATGCGCATATTTTATTCTATCTAAATTTTATATATGAATATATAATTTAAGTCAGAGAGTATAATTCCGAGCGGAATTAAAAAATATGAAAGCAAAAGTTCCGAAAATTCCGAAAAGAAAACGAATGTACACAAAAGATCAGAATGGTCGGGCAAAATTTTAAGCAAAGTTCCGATATTTTTTAAAGGGAAGGTATAAAATCAAAAAACTATATATATAGCGGGCGTATTAATGCGCATTTTCTCCACCATTAGCCATTTCGTGCATTCCCAAAACCAATCCGTACTGATTTCGATAAAACAAATATTTGATATTATATGATTTTTAACAATCCTTTTATTAGACAAAGCATCTCCCTGACAATTATTTCGGAATCTGGACTAGATATGGGAAAAATGCGTATTTTATAATAACATGCGCATGTTATATAAAATGCGCATGATATCGCATGATATAATTTTTTTTGATTTTATATTTTCCCTCCGGAAATATCAAATATTTACCAAAACTTTTTCCACAACCATTCTCATCTTGATGTTCATTCATTTTCTTTTCAGAATTTTTCAAAACTTCTGCATTCCTATTTCTTAATTTTGCCTGGCATTATACACCTTGGCCTAA